TAAAGTGAAGAGTTAACAATACATGTTTTAATATCAACTCATATTTTTAAATAGAAAGAAAACAATTTTAGTAGTTTTTAATAACTGAAGGACCAAACAGAAAAACAAAACTAGCAGGATAGTTCTCAATCAAGGTTAATAAAACCAACTAGTAATTTGTTGGTAAGATGACTTTTTTTTTTTTTTAGTACTTAGGATCAAACTCCAGTCCTTACGCTTGCGAGGCAAGCAGCAGCACCAACTGAGCTAAATCCTGGCCTGGTAAAATGCCTTTTAAAATTTTCCCAAATGAAATTACTCGTTAAAGGATTTTGAAAAAGAAAGTAAATTCATAGAGCATAATGATACAGAGGCAACACTTTAGTCCCAATTCTATCAATAAAAAGCTGAATCCTCCAAGAGAAAAGTAACTCAAACTACAAGGTACTCAAATATCCCTTAACTAAACCAACTGCAATCCAATCAAGACTTAATTGTAAAAGGTTCATTAAGAGAATCTAGTGATAAAATGGACCCTCATTTTTCACTGAGGCTCATGGTCTCATTTCATTAGACATGGACAATTAACTCATCCTGGTATTAGATCTATGGCAGAGTTAATTAGCTTAAGTTTTACAGGTTAAAGTGTTATTTCACTTTAATAAAGGTTTACTCTCACGGGGTCCATCTTTTTACCCTTCAAAGACTGTCCCACAAATTTTTTTAACTGTACTTTCAAATTAATAGAATTTTTAAATTTCAAAACCTTCCAATCTTTCTTAGCAATTAATGTTAAGCAAAACAACAACTCTACTCTGTAAAGTGGCTTGAGATAATACACAATCTAAAACATCACATTTTTATTGCACTGCTTAGTACTCTCCTATTTAAAACAAAGCTAAGCCATTAGAGTCCAAAATGAACACGTAACTCAGAAGGTACTTACATATAATCTGGTCAATTCTAAAATGAATTTTATTTTTTAAAAATACAGAAAGTGAGAAGAACAGATGCAGGAGTCCACAATGGAGCTACTCCATAATTCTGAAATATCAACAAATCATGTCACAAACTATTTAAACCAGTGTAGCCTGCAAATCCAGAAGTTAAGCTTGTTTAGATCAGCATTCTAACAGGATATCTTTATGCCTGCTGACATATAAAAGTTTTAAGGGAGATTAAATAATCTGTGTTTTAAACATTCCATTTCTCTGATCTAATTTTATTATATTTTACAAAAAAGAGCATCTACAAATGGATTTTTTTTTTTTCAGTGTTCTTCTACCATGGATGTTCAAAGACAGCCTCTTCCAGAAAGGTAGACCTCCTTTCTTTTTAAAGACAAGCCAACAACCACATTTGAAACTGAATTCAATACCATGTTCCATTTGACCAAAAGAAAAAAAAAAAGGAGTAAGGGAGCAAAAGTTACTAGGTAACTAGCTTTTCAGCAAAAGTACATTGGATACTGTCAAATATATCAATGGCTCTAAAGTTTAAAAGATTATACTTGTTTTTAATCCAAAGTGGAATTGAATCTGAGAACTGGTAAGAGCGATGATTTTGAATATTCTCCAATACAAAGAAACGATAAAGGTCAGAGGTGACGGAAATACCAATTACCCTGATCATTTATACATGTTCTGAAATGGCAAACAGAACCCTATGAATATGTGTAATTCTTGTGGGTCAATTAAAAATAAATTTTTTAAAAGAGCAGAACAGTAGTGTTTCAAAGACACCAATTTTAACTTATCATAAGGAAGAACTTCTAACCAAGACACAGTCATTTATGTGTGGACCTCTGGCCACTTCCTGAGAGCTGGCTATCTCTTCCACTACTATCACGTTATATCTCAAAAATAATTGTAACTTAAAAACGTAAGAATGTCAATGTACTGCTTTCAAAATGAAAATTAAAAAAAACCTCTGATACAGCTTTCAAGGCCCCTTATCCTGAGTCAGCAGCCTTGTCTCCAAGGTCAACACTGCTTCTCTCAGTACACACCAAACCATCCACTTTGACAGGTTAAGTGTCCACAGCATAACACACACTGCTGCTTTATCCTACTTCTGATGTCTAGAATGCCATTCCATTTGTTTGCCTGATAAATTTCTGTTCTACTCAATCCTCCTCTCCAGGTTCCATTAAAACCTTCAACTTACACAAGAATCCACTACTTCTTGACTTCCAATAGAAGAATGCCCAACCTCTGTTGCATTCTCTACCACACTGTCTTCTTTCATTATAAATACTGGGATTTCCAATGGCTGAAAGTTCCTTTAGGATCATAGGTATTCAAAAACAACTGCTGCCTTGGAAAATATTAACTATTGAAAGGAGATAATAAAAACTGGAAAGAACCATTTCTAGCACTCTGACCTGAAATTTCACAGAATTAAGTATCACAAAGATGGTCAGAATCCATAACTAAGGTTCATTCTAAACCAAATTATACAACAGCATACATATAATTCATAGTTGCACTCCTAAAGCAACTAAACTGTCTCCAAAGGTTTTGAATTTATTTTTACTATTAACAATTTTAAGAATATATCAGAATAACCATACCATAAACCAAGATGATATGATTTACAATTTATTGTGCGCCACAGATTTAAATTAAGATTGTAGAAAACATTCTTGCTATACATCTATACATAAATTCTTCACAAAATTCACATAGGATAATTTCAAAGATACAGAAACCATTTAAGTGAATTAAGTCAGATGTCCAAACTATGTTAATCTGTAGTGTATTTTTTTGTTTGTTTGTTTGCTTGCAGTACTCGGGATTGAGCCCAGGTTCTTTGCACTGAGCTACATCGCCAGCCCTTTGTAAATTGTTTTTATTTTTGAGATACCATTTCAATTAGTTGCCCAAGCTGGGTTCAAATTCAAAATCCTCTTGCCTCAATCTCCTAAACTGCTAGGATTATAGGTGTAGGTCTTCACACCCAGCAATCTGTACTTTTTTAATTAAACTACAGAGTACTGAAATAATATAGCTAAATTTTATTTTCTGGTATTTTATCTTAGTACTATTTTCTTGCATTACATATAATCTGTAAGATGTTATTTAGACAGGCAACAGTAGAAAATAAAATGTGTAAACTGCTCCTACTGTGGTTAAGAACAAGACAGAACTTGGAAGCACTAACCACTGAAAAAAACAAACATGAGATATTTAAAGGTCAAAAATGGGAAAATATTTACCATTTCCAAACCTGGGGAAGAAAAAACTGTAGTATTCCTTCACAGTACTACTGAAGACTCTAAAAATACTAAAAAATATTAAAAATATACTGCCCTATAGTTTAAGACAAAATAGATCATGAATCATCACAATGACTTACTATGTCCCACACACTACTGTTAAGGGATTTAAAATAAACTGTCATTAACTACTAAAAAAGACTATGTGACGCTACAGCACCAAGAAATTTAAATTATTCATCCAAGGTGACAAAACTGTTGCATGGCAAAATCAAGATTCAAAATTAAACAATATGGTGGCAGAGCTCCCTGCTATTCATTCTATTCTGCCAAAGACAGAAGAAAATGTACTTTATTCATGATAGTTTACCATACAATTCCAAATTCTAACCTTTGTGAGTGCTGTGTGACTAAAGAGAGCAGAAGGCCATTACTGAACAATTAACAGGAGCTCAGGAGAGGAATAAATATTTTCTTAATTGATAGCATGATTTAACTAATGGATGTAAGTTAATATTCTGATGAAAACTGACTTCAGTTGTTGAGACGTCAATGTCCCTGAGGCAATTACAATTGTACTACTTAATATATTAATGCTATCATTAGTCCAAACAAGGGAACCAAAACTTCATGGCAATACTCATTTTAAAAGAATATTAAACAACTGATTCTGAATATCCATTTTAAGATTCTAATTTTTTCAGCCAGGCATGGTGGTGCACGTCTGTAATACCAGTGTTCAGGAGGCTGAGGCAAGAGGATTGCTGAGAGGTCCAGGCCAGCCTGGGTTACACAGTAAGTTCAAGAATAGCCTGAACTAAGGGGTTTAGCTGAAATTAGATGGAGAGCTCAGAAAACAAACACAAAGGATTAAAAGTTGGGATACCTTATTAGTTTGGTGTTGGCTCCAAGTTCCTCAAAGTGATTCAATGCACATGCTCCAACATAGCACAGAGCTATTATTTGATAGATCTTTAAATGTATTTTTTAAAAATCACTCTTTTAAATTATTTTAATCCTTGGCAATAAAAATCTAGGTTTTTAAAAAATCAGTCCTTTTTACCCAGATAAAAATTCAAGGTATTTTACCTTATCATACTACTGGCTTATAGGAAACTAGCCAAATATAATCTATCCTAACAATAATATTTAAAGCTAATTATGTGAATATGTACTAAACTAGAAAGATAAGAAATGGCAGGAGAACAAACAGGAAACACAAACAATATACTTTAAAGATGACTAGAACTTTACAATCAAAACAAAATATTGCTGAAACCAGTCTCTTAAGCAATGAGGCTTCATTTGTCTTCTAACTGTCCCAACGACTTCATATACATAGTTATTCATTTGAACAATTTCATATAAACCTTATCAAAAGAAACATCTTAGATTTTTCAAGTTTTTAGTTGCATATTTTTATTAATACAACATGCCAGTTTATTTTCAAATGGCAATTTCTCAAGTATGGATACCAAAGTAAGTTAAGTAAGCAAAATGGATACCAAAATAAGCAAGGTGGAGTAACTGATAATCCTGTGGTTCCTAAATGAAAAATGGTAAGTAATTAACAAAAGGAAAAAATTAGGACTTTTAAAACGTTTCAGGGCCAGGTATTTAGCTCAGTGGTTCTGCCGCCTGCCTCACAAGCTTCAAGGTTCCAAATTTGATACACAGTACCAAAAAAAAAAAAAGTTTCACAGTTTCTAATATAGCCTGCTTTATGCCTGGAATATGTGGCACTTACTAGGATACAAAAGTATAAGTTATTTACATGAAAACCAGCCTTATTTTCAATGCTTACCTTCTTTTTATCCCTCATTGAGCCTTTGCCTCGGACCATTATTTTACATCCAGTTTCTGCTTCAAGCTGTTTAGCTGTAAGTCCTCTTGGTCCAAGGATTCTCCCTACAAAATTAAACTGAGGAGAAAAAAAAGTCATAAATTATTCACTTGCTGCAACTACAGCTCTCACAACGATTTGCAAGCATACTGTATATATACTAAAGTTAAGTAAAATCTAGAGCCCTCATGAATTTGCCAAGTTTGGGAATAACTTATTTATTAACTCATTCTCTTAGATGAACTTTTCCTATGTATTAATACAACCTATGAATTAGGAACAAAATTCAGTTAAAACACATGTACTATACTGAATTGTTCATCAATGTGTAATATATACTAGAGTATATGAAAAAATAAAATATTAAACACTATCCAAGAATGTAAATTCTTTCTACAAAATTTCTGTCTCCTCCAAATGACAATGCTGAAGATATTATTCATTAAGATTAGTGATCACTCTTACTGAAATCCTTGGGGAAAAATTGTATTTTATTTTGTTAACTAGAAAAGTTACAATTCTGAGTTGGTTGCTAAAATATGAGTCGAAACCTGGGTTCCACCCTATGCTAAATGTGTGTTAGGAGTACACAGGCATTTGTCCATCATATTTTCTGGACAATTTTATGCTTGAATTCTTATTCTTCTCACTTTTCCATTTCTATCTTTAACTCATACTTCTATTTTCACATGTATTCAAATTCCATGAATAATAGTGATATATGTAACAGTATAAACAAAAATATACCATCCCTCAACAGAAACTTCTATTATTCATATATAATACAAGGTTTTTTAAAGGCAAAGGGAAGAATAGCCTGACTTTCAATATTGAGAAGTGTACTTTCCTCATTCCCATGTTATCTGTAGTAAAAAAACAAAGAATGAGTCCCTATCATCACTTCCAAAAAAACTCATGAGTGGTTTTCATTTATTTGATCAAATAAGTATTGTTCTTGCCCATACAGCTTCCTTTTTTGTCTTGAAATTCATCTTACTGTTAGTGTATTATTACATAAAAGTAAAGGCTAGAAAGTCCACTGTTTTGAAAACTTAAACTGGGTAACTTCCTTCTCCCTCTGTAATTCAATGGCTCTCACTCTGCCTCATGAAGTAGCACAACTACATTGACACATATTAGAATGTTATTCTCAGATGAAAAGGTGGGTGGTATGTATTTATCCTTTGAAACAGGTCATTCCTCCACCCTCCTCCAGGAGATTTTCATGCAACTCTTTTCTGAATCAGGGATGGTGCTGAGGTAGACCAAGTGCCTACAGATCTTAAATTGTCTAAACAAGATCCCAGATTTATGTTCATGTTCTTGCCCAATTTCTCATTACACAGTATTTCACTTAACCTCTTTGGTATACCTAAGCCTCACCTGTCATTTTCTGTTTATGATAAATGAACATATAACTGGCTTTCATGTATCAACCTAGTAACTAGTAACCTTTTTTTTTTTTTTGGTACCAGGGATAGAACTCAGGTCTTTGTGCTTGACAGGCAGGTGGCGGAACCACTGAGCTAAATCCCCGGCCCGCCCTTAAGTAACCTTGTTTTTTCATTATTGTGTGCCATAAATTTTATGTTATTTATAAAAATATATCACTTGCAAATAATAACACTTCTATTTCTTTAAACTATATATTTTCATTTCTTCTTGCTATGCTTATAGCACGGAAGTAATCTTATAATCCAATCTTAGAGCACCTTATAATCCAAACCAAATAAAAATGTCCTATTTGACTTGTTCCAGATTTTAAAATAAAGACTTTTAACAGTTCACTGTGAAATCTTAAGCAACCTGTAGACACTTTTTTGCAGATAGCCTTTTCTAGCTTATAGTGATTTACAACTGCCAAATATTAAAACAACCTTATATTTCTAAACTAAAATCAACTTGAACATGATGAATTATTCTCTTTATAAATTACTGAGTTCAAATTCCTATCATTTTGGTAATTTTTTAAAAATGTACATTCACGAGTAGAATTAGCCTGCAATTTTACTTTCTCATAACACTATTCTCAAATTTTGGCAACAAAGTTATTCTGGCCTCAAAACAGCATTGGGATGTAGTCCCTCTTTTTCTACTTTTAGATGAGTCTGCACATGACTCATACTGTTTACTCCAAAAGTATTGAATATATGTGCTGGTAATGCCACCTAGCTCCAGAGTTTTCTTTGTGGAAGATTTTTAATTATAGAATTGGTTTAATTCATTATTTTCTATTCCCTGGTATGGTCAACTTTGATACCCTGTGTTTACCTAGAAATATGTCCATACTGTTTAAATTTTCAAATTTTTTTACTTCATTTGTCTGTCTCACTTTCTTTCTGATATCTATAAGATCTGCAGAGATATCCCTTTTTTATTTCTGTTAGTTATCTGCCTTCATTTTTTCTTGACTAGTCTCCAAAGATACCTATTTTTGTTGATTAGACTAGATTGATTTTAAAACTTGCCACAATTCTCCAACCTCTCATGGTACTTTTTTGGTGTGCAATATAAATTTGCACATGTTCCCACCTCCTGAATCTAGGATAACATTGTGTCCTGCTTTGGCCAATACAAGGAAGAAGAAGGAGTGATGTGCCAGTTAAAAGAATGTCACAACCTTGTGCGGTTTTACTCTTACAGCTCTATTTTTCCCCTATTTTGGAGAATGACAAACAAGTGACTAGGCAACCATCAATGCCCACAGCCAGCTGACTCTCCAAAGCAAAAATGCCTGGCTTATACACAGCTAACTACAGATACTCTGCTGAATCCAGCAACAGAAGGAAGAGTTGAAAAATTATAGTTTTTTTGCTGCCAGGGATTGAACTTGAGGCCCTTGTGCTTGCGAGTCAGGCAGTGGAACCATTGAGCTAAATCCCCAGCCCTTAAGTTTTTTAGTTTTGAGGGTACAATTTGCAGCAATAGTTAGATAATATACTAATTCTCTTCACTTTGTATTCATAGGTTTCGACTTAGCTGTCTTTTTTCTTTGGGTTTGATCTGATAGTGTTTTCCCAACCTTTTAGAAATAGATGGTTTCACTATTGTACCCTTTAAGAAAAAGTATATATTTAAAGATGTACATGTACCTCTACGCTGTTTTTAGCTGTACTTCACAAGTTTTAATAGGTACTATTTTCATTACAATTCAGGTAAAAATAATTAGGCAGCTACTGAATATTTAATATTTTTATTTCAAATACAAAAACTTCTGCTTATCTTTCGTTGTGATTTCTAGTTTTCTACATTGTAATCAGAAAATATACTACCTAAAATACTGGTCCTTTAATATTTTTCAGCCCAAGATACAATTAATTTTTATAAATATTCTATGAGTGCTTGAAAAGAATGCAAAGCCTAACTATGATTAAGCTATTTGTTTCTGTAGTGCTGGGGATTCAACCAGGGCCTTGCTCATTTTAGACAAGTACTCTATAAGTTTTATTTATTCTTTTACTTCTGTTTTTGCTGTATACGTTTAAAGGGTATGTTATTTGGCATCTACAAAGGAAAAATTTTATTTTTCTATCATTGTCTTTATTTTCAGTAATGAGCTTTGCCTTAAAGCATATACTGAAATCTTAATATGGAGATACAGGGCCGGGGATTTAGCTCAGAGGTTTGGTGGCCTGCCTTGAAAGCACAAGGACCCGAGTTCAATCTCTGGTACCAAAAAAAAAAACAAAACAAAAACAAAAACAAAAAATCTTAATATGGAGATACAAAGTTCTGTTTGACTTTTCATGATGTGTATTTGATACTTACTATTATCAATCTATTTTTATCTTTTTATTTTAAGTAAGATGCCTATAAACAACACCTAAATGAGTTGTTTCTTCATGCAATCTGTCCATCTTTGAAATTCATATTAGTCCATTTATAATACATGGTTATACCTTCTTGTTAAATATTTTCTACACGTCTTAATCCTTTAATGTTCTTTTTTCTTCTTTCTGGACTCCTTGTGTGTGTACATGTGTACATGTGTTGGGAAGAGCTGACACATGAGCTTGTTTTCTTATTACTTCCTTTATATTACACTTTGAAAAATCACATTTGTTTACCCTATAGGTTAATACATACTTTAAAACATCAATGTTCCTTTGCACTTTTACTCATTTTACATACAAAGACCCCAGAATGAATAACCCCACTTATTCCCAATCCAGGTTATATGCCACTCCTTATTTTTCAAATGCTATCTATATTTTTCACTCAACAGGATATTAACACTTTGTACAAATAAAATGCATTTAAAGTAACCAACTTATCTACCATTTCAGTTCTTTATCCTCATCTGCATGTTCAACTTGCCGATTAAAATCATTTTTATTCTACCATAAAGATATCCCTTTAATCTATCCTGATAAGAAAATGTCTTGTTTTCTGTTTCAGATTTCAGGGAAATCTAGCTCAATGGTTATTTTCCTGCAGCACCTTAATGATGCCATCTTCAGGATTCTACTCTTCCTTCTAAGAAATGAGCTTACTACTATTGCTATGCAGGCAATCTTTTCTCTCTTGGCTATTTTTAAGATTTCCCTTTCACCACTAGTTTTCAGTTTTTTAAAAAGATAATGCGTCCACATGTGTTTTGTCTTCATAGTTATCACAATTAGGGTGCAGTTTAATGTGACTTTGATTTTATTTCTTAAATTTTAAAAATCTCAACCACACTCTTCAAACTATGCTTTTAATTTTATCCCTTTTTAGTACTACAAACATTTTCATACCGCTTTTATTTTTCACATTCCTTCCTGTGTTTTCCAGCCTATTGATGTTGAGGATTTTGTGAACTATACTGCATGCAGTTCACTGATTCTCTTCAACTGCTCCTAATCTGTCGTTGAGTTGGTATTAGTTAAGGGCTCTCTATTATAATTTCCATGCCTGTGCTTAGTCTTTTGTCTCCATACACAGTTAACACATTTCTTAAAAAAGCAGTCATGATAACTCTAGTATCTAGAGTTTCTATGGGACAGTTTTTCTTTTTTGCTGTTTCTTCAGATTTTTAAAATTTTCTATCTTGCTTTTTTTGTATACTTAGGTTATAGTGTACCAGACAATATAGTTAA